CTAAGACCACTTATGTCCTCCTTTCAAGCCATCCAATCCGCGCTGTGTTTTCTCCACTTCCCGAACACTGGCAGCAGTGCTTTTATGATCTATTCCAAAGAGTTTAATACGTATGCCCAGGGCAGGCTGATGATTTTGAACAGATGCTTTCAAATCACCTAGTTCATGTTGTGTTATCCCCAGGGAGTAGTAAGAGACAGCAGTGCTTTGATGTTCTTCTCCAAAAAGGGGCGGGCGAAGTAAAATGAAAAAACATTCTTGCACGCCAATTAATCCTACAAGGAATTTGATAACGAAAACAAATTCCTGCGGCTCGAAAATCCCCCTCCCCCCCATACGTTTTCTAATGGTCCGTCCCTAAGATTGAAATGCTGCTTTGAAATCACCTAGTTCACGCTGTGTTATCCCCAGGGAGTAGTAAGAGAGAGCAGTACTTTGGTGTTCTTCTCCAAACAGTTTAATACGTATGTCCAGCTCACGCTGTCTTGACTGCAGAGCTGCTTTGAAATCACCCATCTTATGCTGTGTTATCCCCAGTTCGTAGTAACAGCTAGCCACACTTTGGTGTTCTTCTCCAAACAGTTTAATGCGTATGTCCAGCGCACGCTGGTAAGATTGAAGAGCTGCTTTGAAATCACCTAGTTCACTCTGTGTTATTCCCAGGGAGTAGTAAGAGAGAGCAGTACTTTGGTGTTCTTCTCCAAACAGTTTAATACGTATGTCCAGCTCACGCTGTCTTGACTGCAGAGCTGCTTTGAAATCACCCATCTTATGCTGTGTTATCCCCAGTTCGTAGTAATAGCTAGCCACACTTTGGTGCTCTTCTCCAAACAGTTTAATACGTATGTCCAGCGCACGCTGGTAAGATTGAAGAGCTGCTTTAAAATCACCTAGTTCACGCTGTGTTATTCCCAGGGAGTAGTAAGAGACAGCAGTACTTTCGTGTTCTTCGCCAAACAGTTTAATACGTATGTCCAGCTCACGCTGTTTTGACTCCAGAGCTGCTTTGAAATCACCCATCTTATGCTGTGTTATCCCCAGTTTGTAGTAATAGCTAGCCACACTTTGATGTTCTTCTCCAAGCAGTTTAATACGTATGTCCAGCGCACGCTGGTAAGATTGAAGAGCTGCTTTGAAATCACCTAGTTCACGTTGTGTCATCCCCAGGGAGTAGTAAGAGAGAGCAGTACTTTGGTGTTCTTCTCCAAACAGTTTAATACGTATGTCCAGCTCACGCTGTTTTGACTGCAGAGCTGCTTTGAAATCACCCATCTTGTGCTGTGTTATCCCCAGTTCGTAGTAACAGCTAGCCGCACTTTGGTGTTCTTCTCCAAACAGTTTAATACGTATGTCCAGCGCACGCTGGTAAGATTGAAGAGCTGCTTTGAAATCGCCTACTTCATGTTGTGTTATCCCCAGGGAGTAGTAAGAGACAGCAGTACTTTGGTGTTCTTCTCCAAATAGTTTAATACGTATGTCCAGCTCACGCTGTTTTGACTGCAGAGCTGCTTTGAAATCACCCATCTTATGCTGTGTTATCCCCAGTTCGTTGTAACAGTCAGCCGTACTTTGGTGTTCTTCTCCAAACAGTTTAATACGTATGTGCAGGGCACGCTGGTGAGCTTGAAGAGCTGATTGGTCAATTCCGATTTTGTTAATTTTTTCATCTTCACAAGATTGGTTCTCTGCAAAACGATTGCCACCCTTTAACTTTGATTGGGGTAGTGATATTGGGATATCTTAAAAGAGAAAAAGGTAACTGAATATCAGATATTTGGTTTGGGTAATGAGAGCATATTTTTTAGTTGAGTCATTCGATACGAGTGTACAGGAAAAAGTAGCTATGTGATGATCATGGGTGGAATTGGAGGAAGGTAAATTGGCCCCTGGAGTGTCGGGGCTTTCTGGTACTGAGTTTGGGATACATACCCTTCATTTCTGTTTTGGGATTTTTCATCTTTTATGGAACTGCCACTATAGCAACAATGTTATTGATGCATAAAAAGAAGTAATTAACCTTACTGAGGCTGAAATTATAGCGAATTCAAATTGACTATGTATAGCGCAGATATAGCCGGTAACTCGGTGTGCAAAATAATAATAAGCAGCGGACAAAAGCTACCGCTGGGAATCTCAAACAAATGACTCACGAGCTATTTCTCCGGCCTCGATTAAGACCCTCGCTGCACGGCTTTGTATCTAGTGAAATCTGTAAATTACTCTCCTGACTTGGCAAGAGCCCATAAGAGGTGCCGGTATTTCTTTCAAGTCCAATACAATCATATTTACAGTTTTGGAGGTGGTGAAAATATTTTGCTTAGGATTTCAGTTACATTTTCACCTGGGTAGATTAGCTTGATAAGCTTTGTTAAAGGAGTTGCGCATTTTTTCCACTAGCCTTTTAACTCACCTTCTTTCCGCGCCGACATAGTGATGTCTTCTTTGTTATCACTGACGTCTTGCACAGCTTTGAGTTCATCTATTTTTCGTGCCAACATGGCGACGTCTTCTTTGCTAGCAATATCGCTTTCCACTTTCTTCTTCAACTCTGCAACGTCTGAATTCACACCCTCAAGAAATTTTATGTACGATTTTTTCTCTTCATTAATAGCCTGCTCAAGTTTACGGACTTTACTTGTGGGAAAGTCTGACTCTAATAAACTACCAACAGCATCAATTGGGGCCGTCGAGACACCCAGCGCTTGGAATGCATCTTTGGCGCACGAGGAGCCGCAAGGGGTGATATTTTTGCACTGCATCTGGCGGCACATCAAAGAATTTGGAATTGAAGGGCAAATTCCTAGAATATCTTCGCCAGTTAAGCTAGAGAAAAGGTGTTAAAAAACCTCAGGATCCAAAACAAAACGTCAATCAAAATATCACTTGGACCTTTTCGCTAATGAAGAGCTATCACGCGGCTAAGCTTGAATTAGACATATACTGAAATAGGAACTCGTGTCAATAAAGTATGAGAAGTGAGTGGGAATCGCTCCTGGTTAAAAAACTGGTTCACAAGGATATGCATCTCTTCTAGTTAAGAGAAGGGAATCAGAACTGCTTTTCTGCTTTTCATGCAGGAACAGGTTTTCTTCGGGCTAACTACAAAACTTCAGCTTATTTCACTCTTGACACTGTCAAACCGCATTTTGTAAAGATAACTTTTTCCGCTTTATCAGCTTTTTTTTATATTCTATCCATTAATAATTAACCTCCCTTAAAAAGCCAAATAATATAAATGCTGCTGTTAAAAAAAGCGTTTAACCTGTTTTCGCTACCCAAAGATCACTATGCTCAAAGGACTGGGCAAAATTTCTAGGAGAGAGGCATTAATTTTTTTCCCACGAGGTTACAAAGAGAAAATGCAATGATTATTATTAATGTAACCATCAGGTATACTCTACCCACGAGTTTACGGACAGCAAATGCAGTGATTATTATTAATGTAACCATCAGGTATGTTCTACCCACGAGGTTACAGAGAGCAAATGCAGTGATTATTATTAATTGTAACCGTCAGGTATATTCTACCCACGAGGTTACGGAGAGCAAATGCAATGATTATTATTAACGTAACCTTCAGGTATGTTCTACCCACGAGGTTACAGAGAGCAAATGCAGTGATTATTATTAAATGTAACCGTCAGGTATATTCTACCCACGAGGTTACGGAGAGCAAATGCAATGATTATTATTAACGTAACCTTCAGGTATGTTCTACCCACGAGGTCACAGAGAGCAAATGCAGTGATTATTATTAATGTAACCATCAGGTATGTTCTACCCACGAGGTTACAAAGAGAAAATGCAATGATTATTTTTAACGTAACCTTCAGGTATGTTCTACCCACGAGGTTACAGAGAGCAAATGCAGTGATTATTATTAATGTAACCATCAGGTATGTTCTACCCACGAGGTTACAAAGAGAAAATGCAATGATTATTATTAACGTAACCTTCAGGTATGTTCTACCCACGAGGTTACAGAGAGCAAATGCAGTGATTATTATTAATGTAGCAATCAGGTATGTTCTACCCACGAGGTTACAAAGAGAAAATGCAATGATTATTATTAACGTAACCTTCAGGTATGTTCTACCCACGAGGTCACAGAGAGCAAATGCAGTGATTATTATTAATGTAACCATCAGGTATGTTCTACCCACGAGGTTACAAAGAGAAAATGCAATGATTATTTTTAACGTAACCTTCAGGTATGTTCTACCCACGAGGTTACAGAGAGCAAATGCAGTGATTATTATTAATGTAACCATCAGGTATGTTCTACCCACGAGGTTACAAAGAGAAAATGCAATGATTATTATTAACGTAACCTTCAGGTATGTTCTACCCACGAGGTTACAGAGAGCAAATGCAGTGATTATTATTAATGTAGCAATCAGGTATGTTCTACCCACGAGGTTACAAAGAGAAAATGCAATGATTATTATTAACGTAACCTTCAGGTATGTTCTACCCACGAGGTTACAGAGAGCAAATGCAGTGATTATTATTAATGACTGTATTAATGTAACCATCGGGTATGTTCTACCCACGAGGTTACAGAGAGCATGCAAATGCAGTAACAATTATTAGATTTTAGTGCAACTATCAGGTTGAGTTCCTCCATTAAAAGAGGTTTTTGCTAGGGTTAAACAAACTTGGCTTTCATGAGTTTCAAGGTGCAAGAAGTTATAAGTATAATTATAGCGCACAAACATATTGCCATCTAATTTTTCGCACGTAGCCGGAATAAGCCAAGAAATGAAGCATATATAACGAAAAATCGTCCTCAGATGATCTCCATATTAAGTAAATTATACTAAACTTTGCGAAAGAAATTATTGTTTGTATCCGTCTTATCCATCGTAAAAGCGAGGGGTCATCGCATGACATCCGGTATATTAAACATAGGTAATACTCACGGGTTCCACGAGTTGTATGCACTATTTTTCCCCGAGAAACAAATTTAAACTTCAATTCTTACCTTACAGTAGTCCGTTCTTTTACCTTGCGTTCGACAACAAATCTGTTAAAGGCGAACAAAGCGATTCCGGCACTCTTCTTTATGATGAGTAGCAAGCCGCAGGAACTGAAGCCGACTGAAGTAAAATCCACCGATATGCACGGCATTCTCACTACAAATATAAACAAACATCGCGGAGAGAAAAAGACGTGGAGGAAAAAATGCCAGATCTTCGCCTCGGCAATGTATTCCAGCTACCATGTCGGCGTATCTCCAGAAGGTGGACTCGAAGTGGGACAAACCTTGTGATTTTTTTTTAGAAGCCCTTTGCGCACAAACTAATTTATTCTGGCGCGAAATGAAGATTAACAATATGTATACTGAAATCTAATCCACGACAAGAAGATTTTCGCACCGTAGCGCGACATATTAAATGCCTATTTTTACAAGTACGCGGAGGAAGTGGTCCACTAGTTTAACTTTTTTAAGATGAATTTACTCCACAAAAGCAAAATGAAATGTTTTATCTCTATGTTGTTTATGTGCCTGATTAAAAGGCAGAGGTAAATTCATCATAAAGACTCCATCAAAATGAAGGTACACGAATGAAACGGAATAAGTCTGGGACGGTTTAGTTTCTACTCAGCAGCTTCTTTGCTTCTATAACAAAAATTTAATGTTGCAGTCTGTTTTAAACGTTGGCATATCAACGCGCTCAGTCTCTGAATGAAAACAACAGTCACGATCACGTTCTGCGAAACCGACCAGACGCGCGCGACCTACCACTGTTATGGTAAGCAATTATCCTGAAGGTGACAGTCTTCGCACTGAAGGTGTAAATGGTTAACCGAACGGTCGCTTTGATCATCAGAAAGATCTGTCAACTTTGATGATTTAACTGATTAAATTACGGGACAGAAATTTTACTGCATGCGGCTCCTCGTGGTTTCACCTGCTGGTCAAAGGTTACTTTTTTTATCTCAGAACTTGTTGAGTGGCAAACGGAATTCCTCAAAAGGCGTAACTGATCAATCGCTAATGCACAGGTTTCAACATTGTTTCCAGTTGTGCTCACTACGGACGGATGAAAATGGCCATATGATAGTCCACGAGGCTTAACATACACGTCATTTAGCGTTCCGTGATGTGAGGTGAAGACTCGCGAGTAAATGGTGGCCTGGAACAACGCAGTGCAATCCCATTCGTGATATGACTGATGGACAGGAACTTTGGTTCTGCCACCTTCTGTAGCGGAAAACATATTTCTCACGGTAGTGGAATCATCCCAGAGCTGGAAGCCAGCGCGATGTCCATAGGTGTTGTCCCACATGGCTTTAAATGTCTGTCTCAGGGCGTTTGGAAATTCATTCAACACAAGAGACGCGAATTTGAAAAAATTTAAATCTTCTTCCCGGTAAGGCTGCAGAGCCATCCCAGCGTAGTTTTTGCTGTTAAAATAAAGAATAACGTTAGTTAACAAAAATTTTTATCTTAATCTGGAAACCATTTCCTTTAATCCCGGATCAATGTTAGTAATTCAGATCGAAGTTTAAGAGCCTGATTTGGTGAAGCAGCTGCATCCATTTTCTCTTTTTTTCTGAAATGCCAGGAGGGTTTAAGCGTTGTCTATAAAAGCTGATAGCCCTGCCGTTTGAAAGTGTTAACTAGTTTAAATGAATGATCGTAACTGCAATTTAAGCAATTGCAAATTAACCCGAAAAACATTGCAGGACTTCAAGGGGATCCGAACCCATAGCCTCTGCGTTGGCGCTGCATTGCTCTATCGATTGAGCTACGAAGACCCGTACATTGGGTGCAGGCCAATTTGTCGAGTTCAACTTAACCCGTGTAAGGAATGAAACACGAAGATGATATGAACTGCGGAAATACAAATTTAAATACAGATATGATTGTCGCAGTGGTAATTGCAAATTCACCAGAAAAAAAAATTGGGATTCGAACCCATGGCCTCTTCGTTTAAGCGCTGCAGTACGCTACAGTGCTCTACCATTTGAGCTATGAAGACCGATGCATTGAAAGAAGGCCAATTTGTTGCGTTCATTTTAACCCGTGAAAAGAATAAACACGAAGATGATGTGAGCTGCGGAAATCACTACAAATTTAAATATACATATGAGCTTCGCTGTGGTAATTGTAACTTAAGTAATTGCAAATTATAACCGCAGCGCTAACGCAGAGGCCATGGGTTCGAGTCCCGTTGAAGTCCCGAAATTTTTTTCGGGTTACTTTGCAATAGCTTAAATTGCAATTACCACTGCGACGATCCTATCTTGATTTAAATTTGTACTTCCACAGTCCACATCATCTTCAGTGTCAACTAGTGCTTACGGACTAACAGAGGTCCTTAACTAAGCATAAATAACACTGGTTCTAGAATGGACCCTTGTGAGACAACCAAGAAGAGCGGGAAAGGCCGGGATTAGCTAATACAAGTTACTTAAATATTAAGTTATGAATAATAAGAATTAGATAATTTATGATAACTTCGTGTCTGTTATCAGTGGCATGGTGTTTTTGGAGTACGGCTATTGCCTATACTAAATTTTGGATATCATTATACATCCAGTCCCATTTTAATCCTCTCCTAAACCACTCTGCACAACACTTTGCGTGCCACGTTAAGTAGCGCGATGTCATGCCATTATTTGAAGCGGCCCAGGTCGCCAAACGAACGCGGGAGACGTCATTTATTTTGTCAACTTAAAACTTACAAGAACAGCTTAAATTAAAAGAGATCAGGCAAAAAACTACTCAGAATAGCAAAAACTAAGAACTAAACGAGCTTAGTAGTTACAATAATTAAATTATCTTGTATAGGGTTGCACCACACGAAAGATAGAGAGGAAAAATATTATAAATTTAGGAGGAAGTAAAGGGTTCGTACGGTCAAAACCGGGGTTTCACAATCACACAGGAAAAACAAATTACCAATTGAAACTTCCACTAAGTATCTCCTGTCAAGTGAGACAAAAGAACAGTAGAAAGTAGCTTTCTTTCTCTCCTGCTTTCGAACCGTTTTGTCCGTCCCTTTTCTGTCTAAAATACCTTTTCCTTTCATTATTATGCAGTATTTAAATACGAATAAATGCATTTTCTCGCAAAAAAGTCATTTCTTTTTTGCCCGTTTCTCCATTTATTACTATATTACGTAGTTTAATAAATTTGTTTCTTTAACTTTCACTGTTAAAGTTTTTTGCTAAAAATTTTTTTACTAGTACTAGTAGTTCTTTTAATACTTTGCAAATATCTGATGACCCAAGAACCTACAATGAATTCTATTATTGCGGGCATCACAATGGAGATGCGATCATAATACTTTTTCTTGAAAGTTAAGAAATAAGGTAAAGGACTGCGGAAGGCAGCATATAATAACTCGTCAAGAAAGAAAAAAACAAGTGTTTGCTGAAAATCAGCGAATTGTCGGAGCCGGCAGAAAGTCCATCTTCAATGGTTAAAATTAGATTCCACGGTTGGTTGAGTAAGCGAACAACCTCAGCTTAACAAACCTAAACCCATTTTACGGCGGTCATATGGAATAAAGGGCTTTCCAGTTCCAAATTATAAGATGTCCTTTGATTTTTGCGTGTTTTTGAAAAGGGAACTCGATTGAACTCACCCGATAGTAGACAATTAACCCAAAGGAATTAGTCGAGCGAGATAAAATCACAGTGCCTACATCTCATAAAATAGCATTCGGCAAACTGGCGATCATACAAAAATATATCATAAAATTACCTCAATTCCTGAAACTCCTGCTACTTTCAAGGACACAGTGATTAGAACAGGTAATAACAGAACTGGAAATCTCTCAACTTTCTAGGTTATACTTCGGGAACGACATCTGAAAACGAAAGTCGACTACCGTAACCTTAGCTTCCGCTTAGAACGCCCCTCCCCCCGAGCTTTTAAATTCCCCAGTACAGTAATAGTCCCATCTACCTGTAAGCAAAAAAATCAATCCCCGTGGCGGATTCAGGGGAGGAGCCCGGGGTCCCCGCTTTATTCTTAGACCAAAATGAGACCCGAAGAGCCGAAAAAAAAATTTTTGAGACCGGGCCCCCCCTTATCTCAGGGTCTGGATGACCGGCGCCCCCGATCCTCATCTGAAGATTTCATCTGAAGATCTGATCCGGCCATAGCCTCCCCGACCCCACCCTAGCTTGTACTGAAACAAATTCTATTCTATATTATTTACGACGTTTTGAAGCTTAAAAATCGAGTGAATCAAAAAGTCTTTTGATGAGCACTGCTATGTGTCTTATTTGGAAACGCTCTTTTTACTGCGGATATGTCAGCTCCCCATTTTCCCCCATTTAAAGCCCTCTTAAAGCCCCTCCCTTACGAAGTTGTATAGGCCTAGGGTTTTATAAGCGGAAGTTTACGGTATACAACGCTATCATATTATAGGGCATCAGCATCCAATCAGATCAGAGGAATTAGAAAGGGACAAAAGACTGTAATTCAATGAAAAACAGGAAATGAAAACTGAAAAACCTACCGGGGGTGTCTGAGGTTTTCTGTCGCGTGCGGCCATAGTTATTAGAGGAGACTGGTTATGAAAAGCGGCAAACATCAATGATAAAAACAACAGTGCTGCAGTTTATGTTCAAAGCACCGTGAAAGTGCACAATCCTTTGTTTTCTGTTGGCAAATTGTTACGGAATAAATTAATGCAACGTTTTTATTGGTCAATACAATCAAAATGATAGGAATTCTTTTGAACATTGTGCACTTTCAGGTCCACAAAAACATATAACAAAGGAGTCTGACGGGTTTCATAACCATTCCACTCAATTAACTATGGTGCGGCGAAGCCCCAGTTAGTTTATTGGATAGTTTCACAGAGTGCACGAGGGAAACACTCTCGCTTTGCGCGCGCCCTCGTAATTCTCCCTTTGCCCTAAAAAACAAACAAATACGGCGCCTGTCACGCAGCTTACTTGTGGCGGGATGGTTCGGTGTCGGCCTCAGCAGCAAAGCACGGGTCACGGGTCTCAAAGGGCCCCTAGTAATCTGTTTGGGTAACGGTAATTTCACGGTAAATGTATTGGATTTTTCATTTGTTTTGGCCTGCATAGCAAGCGCATAGGAAATATGGGTTCGCGAGATAAACGATTTTGTATACGCACGCTGGAGAGGAACACGCGCGCCAGGAGAAAGGTACAATGGTGAATGCGATTTGTCTTCGGGAGGGTCTCTTATTCGAGTTTGTGTGGGAGGGAGTGGGGTGGGGGTGGGCGCTTATTCGAGGCTGGGCGCTTATTAACTTTTCTGCCTTTAGGATGGGAGCTTATTCGAGGTGGGCGCTAATTCGAATAAATACGGTATTCAACTTGAGCGTTGAGCACTTTTGGCGCTTTTTTATTGATCAGCAGGAACGGATTTGGTAGTACTAATTTTTCAACTGCTCTTAGACTGCGAAATTTTTTTTCTTTCTTGTTTTCTTTCTTTTATTTTTTCTCTGTCATTTTCTATTGTATTTTTTAGACTTATTTTTTAATTCTCTTCTCAGTCTCATTCACCTCCCCCCGCCCCTTCCCCGCCGCGCCCCCTCTGCTCCAGACAAGAGGGAACGACCATTTTGTTTTGCTCCAGACCATCCCTTGGACTATTCCGCGTTCTTGGCTTACGCAAAAAGTAAGGGCTGCTTTGTGGTCTGAAAGACTTTGCACTGGTTGACGTTTTAGTGTCATGGAAACTCTAGCTGTAATACTGAACTGCAGATGACAGGTTAAAAGACTGAAAGTTCCTTTCAACAGCGTTTGGAAAGAGAACATCGTCTTTTCCGCAAAAAAAAAAACAACAACAAACAAAACAAAACAATAAAAATAGGGAAACAAAATAGAGTATAATACTAAACCTAAGAAGAACCTTGTAACGAACAAATGGGAACACCTAAAATGGAAAGACAGACTTCAGGACTTTCCTTATCCTCCGTAACCCTAAGCCATGAAACTTAGATGCCCAAGCACCAGGTTATGGTTTTAGTATTGATATAAAATTATTGACATTAAAAGTAATAGAGCGCTGTAAAGTTATATGTTATGAATAGTTTTATAAATATGAAAGGATGTTCTTCAAATAATATCGACAGAAATTTGATTCAATAACCAAAAAACGTTGATTCACATCGATAGCTCCAATTTCGCTACGTAATTCTAGCTTGTTAAGCAATGAAGAAATGCATACATACATGTAAAATCGAGAACATGCCTTTACAACCCTCTGCAATTTATTCCTGTCCTTGACAGATAAGCCAATCTGCGTTTATTTTCCAGTAAAACCTTCTGTGTAGTTATATCCTGATAGGAAACCGCGTGCGTGTGAAAAGCTCGGGAATGGCCCGGGGCTTGGCAAATGCCCGGCCCCCAGGCGGTGCAAAATTTGCAAATGTCCCACCCCCGGGACTGACAAGGCGGACAAATGCCCCGCACCCGCAGTAGCCTTGGGGGACTGGGCGCAGGTGGAATTGACTGATGCATTATATACAATTTTTTGAGGGAAATCGCCTGTCTGAAAGTGAACATGAAAGTGTGTGACGCTATCCCAGGGACCCTATATGTTGTATCTGAAGAAAATGCTGCAATCACTAAGAATAATAGGGTTACTGAAAGATTTAATTTCGAATTGGCTTTTAATCTGCCTTTAAGTAAATTGTTTTTAAAAAGCATATCTATTGGTAACACTGGCGTGACGGGCCGTGTAACGCTATTTTTAACAACGGCAATGTCGCGGTTTTTTTTGTTGTTGTTTTTTTTGCAAAATTAGGGTTGAACTCAACGTCTTGCAGGCTACTTAAAATCGTTTGCCCAGAGATTTGTTTCAATTTTCTGATAGATTGGGGCCTAATTAAGCAGTAGAAAGTCAATTTGCGGAATTTTAAGTTATAGCGCATTGTATCCCTATAATTTTGAACGGTAGAAATTGTCAATAGGGCCTATTTTTAACAATACCTTTTTGGCCACAAAATTATTACAGCTTTCACAAATTTATCGACTTATAAGAAAGAATTGAAAGGGTCATAAAAACTATCCGTGTTTTTCAAAGGCTGCCAAATCGTTGTGGTTTGACGTACGAGTCAATGGAATTTGTGTAAAATTTCGCTTTGCCGGAAGTAGATTTTGAGCTCTGAACGGGTAAAATGCGTTTCTCGAATTTTGACAAACGAACACGTTATTTGGGAAAACTAACTACAGCATGTTTCGTTACTCATTAAGGGTTATCTATGAGCCAAATATGAGCGAAATCAAATTTTGGACTTGTGCCGACCGTGGGTCGATATTTACGGAAAGCCACTCTTAAAGATTCCCCCTTTTAAAGATTCCCCGTTTTAAAGATTCCCGCTTTTAAATATTCCCCATTTTAAAGATTGTCGCTTTTAAAGATTCCCCATTTTAAAGATTCACCATTCCCCGATTCCCGTTCCTTGTTTTAAAGATAGCCCTTGTGCATCTACTGTTTACGGTTAGATGTTCACGCATAAATTCACCCGTCAATCAAACTAATGTTTTTTTTTTTTTTAATGGTTTCCTTCCTGATTCCGTTGGGATCACTTCGTGTGTATATACTAAAACAACAATTCGCCTCAGACTCAGTTAATATTGTTAAATAATCCAAAATTCAAAACTATTAACTTCGCCTTCGGCGAATAAATGTTAAATGTTCGTCGTCAGGCCAGCTTGGAGGTTTTGCGCCAGGAGCCAGTTGTTCAAAAGGTCGATAACGCTATCCACAGGATAAATCTCCCTCCCGTGAATAACCGATTGGTTGCCCTGATAAACTTATTCGCTGGATAGTGTTTTAAACAGTGGATAGTGCTATCCAAAGTTAGAACAACCGAGGCCAGTAAACTAAACCTGTCCAGCAACCCTCCTGGATCGTAAGGGCGCTGCTCTATGGAGCTGGGAGCTAGACATTTCTTGCTGATTAAGCAAGCGTCTAGTGTCTCTCTCGTCCACCCTGCTACTGTTCTCTGTCAGGAGCCCTGTCCAGTTCTTTTCTTTCGACCTCGACGTCTCCCACTTTCACTTTTTCTTGAAGAATTTAGCAAACTGCACAACCTAAAAACATCATCTATATATTTATGAGTTGAATCAAATACTACTGCCTATAATTAAGTATACGGCAGGTAAACCCGCTATGGGTCACGTACTGAGCAAGGTTTTCATTTCATGAGTTGGTTTTTGTAAGCATGGTTTGGTCCGGTTTGGTTTCAGTGTCGACAAAGATTACTTATTGAACGCTTGTTGCTCTCTCACCACGGTAAATTCTGTTTCATTCTCAAAGTTCCAATTTGGTCCCACAAAACCATGCAAACCTGGTTCACCCTCTTGTGGAGTCATTTAAGTACAATTTGAACCTAAACAGCGCGATCAAAGGAAGGAACCTAAATCGCATCGACCTTTATTTAAAAAATGTGACCAAATTAGACCATAATCGGGATGCACTGTATTATTTTCAAAGAAACAGCCACAAATTCGAGGTTAGTTAATTCTTTTTTTGTTTTTTGTTTTTTTTTTCAATTTACAGTGCAGTTGATCATCAACGTTTTTGTAATATATCATACACTGTAAATTCAGATGTCTTTTGTCGCTCCAAAATGTCCCATAGAATCTCTCAGGCCACGAAAAGTTGTCTGCAACTGGAGCTGACCGCTTAAAACGGTTATATACCGCTTATATATCGCTAAAATGCGGAGTTGGTATGGGTGTTTAGAAAAACAGGGTTTCGTGGAGGCGGCCGTTAGTAGACCTGTCCGCTTACGAGTGTCCGTTGGGAGAGCTTCCATCCATTTTTTTAGTCTCTTGTGGGAAGCTATCAGCACAGTTTGAACTGAGCCAGTCTAATCAAAGAACTACTTAAGTGCAATCACCCGTCAAATACAAATAAACCCAAAAGGTTCGATTATAATTTTGGCCCTAATTAGGACACCTAAATTAGACACCAGCAAAACGCAGAATATAAGCCGACTACAGGGTATACTGACCTTCAAAAAACCTTAAAATATACGGTCCTGTTAATTCAACTCTCCCTTGCAGTTTTGTCCGAATTCGAAAAAGTAATTTGCATACCCATTGCAAAAAAACTACTTACGCCCTCCTATGAAGCCAACAATGCACGCTGTGTTTTCTCCACTTCTCGGTTACTGGCAGCAGTAAACGGGTGTTCTTCTCCAAACATTTTAATTCGTATGCTGAGCGCAAGCTGGTGAGATTGAAGAGCTGCTTTGAAATCACTTAGTTTATGCTCTGTTACCCCCAGTGAGAAAAAGCAGTCAGCAGTGCTTTGGTGTTCTTCTCCAAACAGTTTAATACGTACGTCCAGGGCACGCTTGAAAAATTGAAGAGCTCCTTCGAAATCACCCAGTTTCAGCTTCGTTATCCCCAGTGCGTAGAAGCAGTCATCAGTACTTTGGTGTTCTTCTCCAAACAGTTTAACTCGTATGTCCAGCGCACGCTGATGAGATTGAAGAGCTGCTTTAAAATTACGTTGTTGATGCTGTGTTACCCCCAGTGAGTAGTAACAGTCAGCAGTACATTGGTGTTCTTCTCCAAACAGTTTAATACTTATGCCAAGTGCAACCTGGTGACATTGAAGAGCCGCTCTGAAATCACCTAGTTCATACTGTGTTACCCCCAGTGAGTAGTAACAGTCAGCAGTACTTTGGTGTTCTTCTCCAAACAGTTTAATACGTATTTCCAGCGCACGCTGGTGAGATTGAAGAGCTGCTTCGAAATCACCCCTTTCATACTGTGATTTCCCCAGTTCGTGGTAACAGTCAGCAGTACCTTGGTGTTCTTCACCAAACAGTTGAATACTTATATCCAGAGCACGCTGGAAGGATTCAATTGCTGCTTTGAAATCACTTCGTTTACGCTGAGTTATACCCAGATTGAAGTAACAGTTAGCAGTACTTGGGTGTTCATTTCCAAACAGTTTAACTCGTATGTACAGGGCACGCTGGAAAGATTGAAGAGCCGCTCTAAAATTACGTTGTTGATGCTGTGTTACCCCCAGTGAGTAGTAACAGTCAGCTGTACTTTGGTGTTCTTCCCCAAACAGTTTGATATGTATGTCCAGCGCACGCTGGTGAGAATGAAGAGCTGCTTTAAAATTACGTTGTTGATGCTCTGTTACCCCCAGTGAGTAGTAACATTCAGCAGTACTTAGGTGTTCTTCTCCAAACAGTTCAATTCGTATGCCCAGTGCACGCTGTTTTGACTGAAGAGCAGCTTTAAAATCACCCAATTTATGCTGTGTTATCCCCAGCGAGTAGTAACAGTCAGCAGTAGTTTTGTGGATTTCTCCAAACAGTTTAATACGTATGCCCAGAGCATGCAGTTTTGACTGAAGAGCTGCTTTAAAATCACCTAATTTATGCTGTGTTTTCCCCAGTGAGTAGGAACAGTCAGCAGTACTTTGGTGTTCTTCTCCAACCAGTTTAATACGTATACCCAGTGCACGCTGTTTTGACTGAAGAGCTGCTTTAAAATGACCCAATTTATGCTGTGTTTTCCCCAGTGAGTGATAACAGTCAGCACTACTTTGGTGTTCTTCTCCAACTAGTTTAATACGTATGCCCAGTGCACGCCGTTTTGACTGAAGAGCGGCTTTAAAATCACCCAATTTATGCTGTGTTATTCCCAGTGAGTAGTAACAGTCAGCAGTACTTTGGTGTTTTTTTCCAACCAGTTTAATTCGTATGTCCAGCGCACGCTGGTGAGACTGAAGAGCTGCTGTGAAATCACCTACTTCATACTGTGTTTTCCCTAGTTCGTGGTAACAGTCAGCAGTACTTTGGTGTTCTTCACCAAACAGTTTAATACGTATGTCCAGCGCACGCTGGTGAGACTGAAGAGCTGCTTTGAAATCACCTACTTCATACTGTGTTTTCCCTAGTTCGTGGTAACAGTCAGCAGTACTTTGTTGTTCTTCACCAAACAGTTGAATACTTATATCCAGGGCACGCTGGAAGGATTCAAGTGCTGCTTTAAAATCACTTCGTTTACCCTGAGTTATCCCCAGATTTAAGTAACAGTTAACAGTACTTGGGTGTTCTTTTCCAAACAGTTTAACTCGTATGTCCAGGGCACGCTGGAAAGATTGAAGAGCCGCTTTAAAATTACGTTCTTGATGCTGTATTACCCCCAGTGAGTAGTAACAGTCAGCAGTACTTTGGTGTTCCTCTCCAAACAGTGTAATACGTATGTCCAGCGCACGCTGATGAGATTGAAGAGCTGCTTTGAAATCACCTAGTTTATGCTCTGTTACCCCCAGTGAGTGGTAACAGTGAGCAGTACTTTGGTGTTCTTCTCCAAACAGTTTAATACGTATGTAAAGGGCACGCTGGAAAAATTGAAGAGCTCCTTCGAAATCACCCAGTTTCAGCTGTGTTATCCCCAGTGCATAGAGGCAGTCACCAGTGCTTTGGTGTTCTTCTCCAAACAGTTTAACTCGTATGTCCAGGGCACGCTGGTGAGACTGAAGAGCCGCTTTAAAATTACGTTGTTGTTGCTGTGTTACCCCCAGTGAGTAGTAACAAACTGCAGTAGATTGGTGTTCTTCTCCAACCAGTTTAATACGTATGCGCAGTGCACGCTGTTTTGAATGAAGAGCAGCTTTAAAGTCACCTAATTTATGCTGTGTCATGCCCAGAGAGTAGTAACAGTCAGCAGTAATTTGGTGGTTTCTCCAACCAGTTTATTACGTATGCCCAGTGCACGCTGTTTTGACCGAAGAGCTGCTTTAAAATCGCCCAATTTATGCTGTGTTTTCCCCAGTGAGTAGTAACAGTCAGCAGTACTTTGGTGTTCTTCTCCAACTCGATTAATACGTATGCCCAGTGCACACTCTTTTGACTGAAGAGCTGCTTTAAAATCGCCTAGTTTATGCTGTGTTTTCCCCAGTGAGTAGTAACAGTCAGCAGTACTTTGGTGTTCTTCTCCAACCAGTTTAATACGTATGCCCAGTGCACGCTGTTTTGACTGAAGAGCTGCTTTAAAATGACCCAATTTATGCTGTGTTCTCCCCAGTGAGTAGTAACAGTCAGCAGTACTTTGGTTTTTTTCTCCAACCAGTTTAATGCGTATGTCCAGCGCACGCTGGAGAGATTGAAGAGCTGCTTTAAAATCACGTAAATTATGTTGTGTTATCCCCAGTTCGTAGTAACAGTCAGCAGTACTTTGGTGTTCTTCTCCATACTGTTTAATACATATGTCCAGCGAACGCTGATGGAATTCGAGGACTGATTTGAAATCCTGTTGGTTACGTTTCTCGGTTCCAAGTTTGTAGCGGTTATCAGCAACACTGGATTGATTCTCTACAGCACCACAAAAAGAGGAAATATTAGATGTTGTCTCAATATCTAGGACCATATTTCATTTAAATGAATAAAGGTATCAGTAGAACCATTGGATAGGAATGTAGCTGATGTCCTCTGTCAACACTGCAACATTTTTTTATTGATCGCACAGTCGAATAGTGCCATTTAAGTATTTCAATGTGCGATTTTTTGTTTCAATTAACGTCTTCCTTTCTAATAGCGCTAGGATTCTAGTTAAGACTTCACGCCGCAACGACATGCACCAGTTTATGGTTTTAGTATTAATGTAAAACTATTGACATTAAAATTAACAGAGCGCTGTTAAGTTGTATGTTATGAATAGTTTTATAAATATGAAAGGATGTTCTTCAAATAATATCAACAGAAATTTGATTCAGTAACCAAAAAACGTTGATTCACATCGATAGCTCCAATTTCGCTATGTAATCCTGGCTTAAAGCAATGAAGAAATGCATGCATAATCGAGAACATGCCTTTACAACCCTCTTCAATTTATTCCTATCCTTGACAGATGAGCCAATCTGCGTTTTTTCCAGTAAAACCTTCTGTGTAGTTCTATTCTGATAGGACACCGCGTCCGTGTCAAAAGCTCAGAAATGGCCCCAGGGTTGGCAAACGCCCGGCCCTCGGGTAGTGCAAAATTTGCAAATGCCCCACCCTCGGGAATGACAAGGCGGGCAAATGCTCCGCAGTAGCTCGGGAAGGGAGGGGGGGCTGGGCGCAGGTGGTATTGACTGATGCATTAATAGGGTCTTTAAGCAACGACTACGGAGGAGTCTAATACGGTGACCGGAAGTAGTTTTTTTTTCCGCCACGCGTCAATGACTCAAGTTAAGATAAAAGATATCACGACAGCGGCCAGCACGTCGCTTTTTTATAAAACGTGAATGCCCAGTCGTTCTAAATTTCTAGCCATTATTGCAAGTCGCATACTTTGTCAAATGTATGCGATCTCATATCCAAGTTCAGAATAAAAAAGCTCATCATCGTTTGTTTGGGACACGTCCTTCATAAAACATGAAATTAGGAATTTTCACGTCGAGGCCGTGCAGTGATGGCAAAAAAATTTTAGAAAAACACTAAGATGCTTAACTAAGTTGATGATTTGCTAATTAAACTTATTTTCTTGTCGTACCACCTTTCCCGAATAGGTAGGGGTTTGTGACGAGCCGTAGTGTCGAGTACGTTAAGTAGTTAGTTGTGTTTTACATGATTTATTATTATTATTTTTTTTCCATGAGCCATTCTTCATCAGCCAAGGGTTCATTTGCATATGCAATGTCATTTTCCAGGCTTTCACATGAAACTTGCGACTCGCGATCACTTTGTTCATCTTCCACTTCCGCCAAATTTGCCTCAGAATCTTCTGAATTAAAACTTCTCTCGGAACTTGAATCACTTGAAGACATATTCCGTTGAATTTTGGTCGTTTTAGCATCCCGCTCGCTTAAAATGATTTTCCCTTTCTCGCTTCTCGGTCTTTTACTCATGAGTTCGCGGCAGATGTCCTCCTTTGGTGACGTCACAACAACATTCGTACCCAGCTCCCACAATAACTCGGTAATGGGACACAAGAGACCCAACTTTAAACAGCCATGGAAACGCGAGGATTTTGTCAATCACGATATTTTTTCTCAAAAGTAATCAGAAAAATAAGGAGATTTCATTTAGCGAAAAACAATTTGGGGGTTAGTTGCACTTTAAGAGTCATGCACGATACCCAGGTAAAAAATAAAGCCAAATACAAGAAACACATAGATGGAAAGAGAGTATGGGATAATATCTCACCATATAACTTGGCAGGAAAATCTAATTCGACGTTTTCCAGCAAAATAAATCGCTTCGATGGGATTATTAATAGATAACTGACATATTACATACAATTAACAAAGCAATCAATGCGAGAAACATTTCAGAGCCAAAGTCAAATCACACACAAGTCACGGTTCGTTTGAGGTGGTTATTCACCATGTAGTAATGCATGTCGCCGCGTTCAAATCCCTTCCTTCAGCTTCAGTGCATATCTACAAAGTTTCCTTTCACACTGGCACCCTGCCATACAGGGAGGCTCCGCCCCGAGGTCCAACCCCTTACCCTTTTATATACCATTTTTGACAGAAAAGGTACCCCTTCAGTATACCTTCCATTGACATTGGTACCCCTTTCACATGCCAAGTTTAGAACTTTGCATCCTTCTTAACTGCTGTAAATGTACTGTCTTTAAAATATGAATAAATCACAAAACCAGACCGTTTACTCTGCTCTTTTCACAGCTATGATACATCTGTAAGCCCTTTTTGGGCTTTTTACCAACCGAAATGACAGTTTTCCCTATCCTTTTATATACTTCAACAAGTGAAATCCCAAACCTCTCATATACTTGAGGCCTGAAAAAGGTACCCCTTCCAGGTGGAACCTCTCCGTATAGGCCATTTTAGGCAGTACCCCCCGGGATTCAAGTCGGCTTTGAATTTTGATCAACAATATGTGTTTTGCATTCCGCCTATAGCCGGCGATACTGCGTACATTTCATAGTGTTAACTCCCACAAGGATATTTTAGGGTATATAAGCGGCCACGCGGTATTAGACACAAAAGATAGAGCAGAAATGTACCAGGTTTTTTTTTGTCCCTCCTCGGGTCTTCAGCGTTTCAGAAGGGTGTAATCAGAAAATTACAGTATACAGAATAAACCTGTTGTAGAGCTAAAACTGGTGCGTGATTCTCTTCTAAGTGGATTCGACATATATCCAAATCGGTCAAAAATCCTGAACAAGTTCGAAGGAGAGAAGTCACTAGTTCTGTTCAATCCAATTCAAACAGGAAAAATAGCATTTTCACAAGGGTCTAATATAAGTCTAAATAAAATGGGGTTCACTGTTTTTCTGACATTATACTTAATAAAACTTTCATGAATTCTTGAAGATTTTAATATTCGTGCAGTAGAGGAAATTATAAAATAGTGGTGTCAAAGGTAGCGCTTAGAACGTGACACATTGCGCTACCTTGAACCCCGGGCCTTGAACCTTGCTGGAAAATTGCAAGACAATCCAACACAACACCATTTTTTACATTTTCTTCCACAGTGAAAAAAACTGCGTCTTTCTTTAAGCAGCTGCAGTACATTGGCAGGTTCTCAAAGTGAAAAGGAAACTTTGAGGTGTGCATTAAGATGGGAAGATGAAGGAAGGAGTTTCAACCCAACGACATGCATGGATCGATGAGATCTAACGTTGACTTGTGTGTGATTTGACTTTGGCTCTGAAATGTTTCTCGCATTGATTGTTTTTTTAAGGGTAGCTAATGTGTCAGTTGTCTATTAACGATCCCATCGAAGCGATTAACTTTGGTGGAAAACGTCGTATTAGATTTTCCTGCCAAGTTATATTGGGGGCAGTAATTTGCATAAATTAACCGCCAATCACACGATTCCTGTTTTTGTTGACCAAAAATCGTTAATCTGCTCGATAACAGACTGTAAAAGGTAAATGAATGCAATCTATAAGAACCATCCAACGTTCTTGCTTAACATCACCCCAATGACATTATTTAAAAGAAAGATAGCGGCGAACAAAAGTTGCGAAAATTTACTATTTTGTCTCAAGTATACATTTTCATTTGATTGGCATGCAAAGATATATCCAGTGCCGCAGATTTTTAAGCATGAAATGATTAACAAAGGGGAAAATATTTACATCCTGTTGTAATTTTGATCAAAATCGGAGTACTAGTGATAAAAAAAAATGTGTTCCAAAATGTCTATTTTTTAGCCTTGTCAAAAAACGTTTCCTGTGGGGGGGGGGGGGGGCTAGAGAAATATTGATAACATTTTCATTAAGAGGAAGGATGATATTTTGCTGTCACGGAAACAGATTTTTAAATGTTAGTCTGCTTTCTGAAATATTTACCTAAAAAAACCCCAATTTTCAAAAAAACAATTTACCCCCAAAATTCCCCCCCCCCCCCCACCCCCTGATAACCAGTGCAGGTTTTTGTTAGCAGTCAAACAAATGCCACAGTGAGTAGTTTCATCTGAAGTACTAACTACACACAAAGTATGAAGGAAGGTTTTGTTTGACCATTTCCAATTTTGCTCAATCGTTAGCGACATTCATTCTTAAAAGGCAGGTTTCTTAGGCCAGATAAGCGCCAAAATCACAGTAACGAAGGAAAAGCAAGGGAGAAAAAGAAAGAGCGAGGAGAAGGGAAGAAGGAGAGGAGAAAAAAGTAATGGTTGCAGTCTTAGTTTTTATGATGGCTACTTTGGCTACTTTGTGGGACGCAAAAGGTCTATTTGGCGTTAACGTTCTCAAAATTCCGGCTAGATATACATACTTGCCATATCAAATCACCCGCATGATTTCAGACCAAATTACACTCCACTTCGTTCAATTAACA